TTACCGTACCGTAGCCAATCTGTCTGCACACGAAATGCACATTATGATTTTTGGACCAATTATTGCTGATCAGACGAGGATCAAGAGCCACTTTATTGGTTTACAGCTTCACTCAGCTGTGTAAAAACAGCAAAAGGAGTCGATGTAATTTGAAGAATTTCAAGAATCTTTAAGCCTGGAATCTGGAACAATGACAGCACAGGTATGTGTGGAAGAAAAATGATAAAAACTGAATAATAACCTCAATAATTAAACTTTGATATTGACAGAAAACTACAAGCAAACAGAAAAATAGTGTGACTTTCCCTCCCTGTTCTCCACCCGTCTCCCCCCTCTACCTCACCTCCTCATATTGACCCTCCTGTCTGGCTGTACAACAGAAAAGAGAACGAGAGACGGGGGAGAGAAAAAGAGGAGTGTTGGTGTGTTTAAGTACTTTATACTCGTATCATCCAGCCCACCCACACACACACACACACACACACACATCTCTGTAATGTGAAATGATGCTCGTCTGACACTTTACTGCATTACACTGTGTCTGTGTGTGTGTGTGTGTGTGTGTGTGTGTGTTGCAGCTGCTGCTATCTGAGCCCTGAGGGAGGATGTTCACCCAAAAGCCACCCTGCAAAAAAACAACCTAAAAGAAGCTAATGCCCTAATATAAAAACACACATACACACAGAGCAGCTCGTGTTAAACAAACCGAGCGGGCACAAAGCGAGCTGTGATGAAATTATCTCCAGCGACGGCGAGGATAAGAGGGGCAGAACACAAAGCCTAAAGCAATCTGCCCGATGGAAGACAGCCATCGATAATACGCTTTACGGCTGAGAGGGGAGGGGAGGAAGGAGAGGAGGGTAATGTGATTAGAGAGGAGAGGGTGAGTGGAGGTAGAGAGACTAAAAGGTAACGGCTCAGCTGTAAAGATGCGTAGCAGAGCGGGAAGATGGACGTGTTCCTGTAGTCCAACCCGGAAGTTAGCATCACCCTGGTTCCTTCCACAGAAAGCCAATGGGGTTGTTCCACTGGATTTTAGATTACTGGACTCCACTTTTATGATTTTTGAGGGTTAGGGTCAGAGAGCGTGTGCGGGACAAGGACTTCAGATGGGGAAAGTATCGCTGTGTGCAGAGGGTTGACAGAAAAGATCATTATGTAGATTCAATTCCAGCCAAAGTCCAACAGACGCAGCAGAAAACAGGCGGAATAAGTCGGTTCAATAAGTCCAAACTGACAAACAAGGTCGGGCAGACACACAGCTGTTGGCAGGTGTCAGGAAGAAAGAAAGAATAAACACACAGCGCACAGGAAAGGTGACAAATGACTCAACAACACACAGTCAGGTGCACCGAATCTGTCCCTGCATGACCCAAACACCTGACTGAGCCACCGAGTACCACTCTGCAGTTCTCTTCATAAACTTTCATACCTCTTCTCCCTGTTTATGGAGGTTTTAAGGTCTACGTTAATATCATCGACAAACTACTGCAACTAATGATTGTTTTCACTGTCGATTAATCTGCTGAGTAATCGTTCAATTTGACGTCTTCAAATTGATTCTTCTGCCCAACCAACAGTCCCAAAACCAAAAGACTCGTCATTCAAAGAATTCTTCGATTATTAAAATACTCTGCAAATAATCTTCTTTCCATCAACTAATCGATTAATTGTTGCAGCTCTACTTCCTTGCAGCACTTTTTAACCAAGTGAACTCGTTATATTGATTAACATTCATCGGACAAAGACAATCGATACCCCAAACTGGGTCTTAGCTCTTACAAATAAGTCTATTAACTTGTGTTCTCCGCAGTGTGTGGCCAGTATTAATAGTTTGTGATAAGGAACTTTTGTACGTATAGTAAACGTTAGATTGGCGTGCAGCAGGAAGCGAGTTGATTCGGTCTGAAAGGTTTGATTTCTGTCAGTTACAATTCTAAACATTTATCTTTAAAAGAAAGAATACCATGGTGGGTCACTGTATAATAAAGATTTTTAAAATTAAACCAGGAAGAGGATCTATAGAGGCAGGAGCAAACAGTGCTCTGGGGGGGGGGGAATCACACACTGACGCACCATGATTGTAGAAAACCTCTCGACACATTCAGCAGCATTTATCCAAGAAACAGGCCTTTAGGACTCCAGAGCAACATGAGAGTAGATGTTCTTCTGAGAGAGTGGATAACAGCGTGTGTGTGTGTGTGTGTGTGTGTGTGTGTGTGTGTGTGTCTAACTGATCTATATGTACATTGTGTGTGTGTGTGGGGTGTATTTAGCCGTTCCACCCAGGGGCCCGATCATAATAACATGTTTTAGTCGAGCTAAAAACATGCAATTAACAGGAGGATGCAGGGGAGCCGGGCTCCACCGGAGACAATTAGAGCTGCAGCAGCAGCCGGCAGCAAGAATTCATTATCAACACTGTGAATATTGATGAGGGAAAAAAGTGACAACAAAGAGACTGCGAGATGACACGCAGCGTACGGAGACGGGACGCAGG